TAAATATCACAGTTTGCTTCCAGAGATCTATACCACAAAGCCGGATTTTGTCTTTTCCATGTAATTCAAGGGTTAACTCTGGGTTTTCTGTACTATGAGAGTGGTTCATTTCTTATCAGATTAAATCTCCATGGCAACTTAGTTTGTAATCCTAACCTGCTCCAGATTAGAGGAACTGAGGAACCTATAACAAGTCACTATTGTACTTACTGACCTCATATTAAATTTCTATGACGATTAAGCCTATTGAATTCCGCTTTTATATTTAATAGGTTTAATCATCATACGATATCTATAATATTTATAATTGAATACATGTATCCAGTCTGAAGTTTCCATATGCTCTAATTTTACTGGAATCGTTTTTATGTTCTTTAGAGATTTTTAATCTCCATTTTATCATCATCTGACAAAGTCTCTAATTGGAATAGGTGACACTCATAGGGATCATTTTCTGTGAAACACACGTTTAAGATTGGTTAAATGTTCCCAACAACACACCTTTAATGGGAACGCACAGGGGAAGCCCTGTGTTAACTTGGCAAATTGATACTCAACTTTATGTTGTTTATCCTGATTGCACTTCACTTCGGCGTATAGGGCCAAGAAGTGGGATAGCCTCAAAATCCTGCGTCCTTTAAAAACTCTTTTTTAACAGGCAGAAACCTCCAGCAGAAACAAACCTCCAGCTCAGGGAGAGGCAGTCATCTTCCATGACCAGTTGAGGGTTAGGGGAGAAAGGCTGTTGCCAAAAAGTCAAATATTTCTCCTTTAAAGGTCAAGTGCATTCACTCATAGGCTGCACTCTGTCTGGCTCTGCTGGCCAGACAGAGTGCAGCCTGGGCGCACATATTCTAAACTCCCAGCTATCAGTTGGTTTATACTGTTTTAAGCCCCCAAGGGCTCAAACTAGCACTTCCAGCTGTGGGTGGAGTCAAAACAGAAGCATGGCTCTTTTTTTGTAGTAGGTGCTGATGGGGGATACAGGTTAGTTTTTAGGAGATGAAGGTGTGACGATGCAGTTTTTGGACAGATTGAAGAAAATAAATGAGCTCGTGATAAGGTAAGACAATTAGCTGGATAAAGAAATGAAGAAGTCATCAATGCGAAACAGAAAGGAGGTGAGAACAGTGCACTGTATGGCCTTAGGTCTTTGACACTTGGTTTTCCGGTAACACCCTTTTGACCCAGCTGCTGTCTGTGAGCTCCCTGTGATCTCTGATCCTCTGACCTCACAAATGCAGCTCCCAAACACACACGTGCACCAACACACACACCTTTAAATCTTAAAATAGCTACAGTTAATAGCAGTTCCCCAGAGCCCCCAAGCAGGATGTTTCAACAGTCTGAGACCAGCCACCACATGCAGCGCAGCACAGCTCTTTCATCGTTTTCTTCCGGATTCTGATTGGAACTGGTGTTTTTTAATTTAAATTTCATTGAGTACGACTGTTTACAGCTCGCCGTCTGCTTGCGGGTTAGAGTCGGATACGGGAGCGAGTTATAGCGAGAGGGTGGTGTGGGGGCAAATTCCACGCGCTTGTGAAGATCCATCGCACGCAGATGTTGAAAACATGTGGAAGCGCTGGCTGCAAGTTTCACACACAGCAATTAGTGTAGCACTAAACGATGTGTGTTCGTGTGTGTCCTTTATGCGCGAGCTTCCCTCTTGAGCGCTTGTAGCAGCCAGCTGTACGTAAGTGGGGGGAGATTTCCGTGACGAAGTTAACTGGAGGGGTACATTTATTAAAGTTGAGCGGAGAAATGCGCCAGTGCTGATGATAACCCTAATCAAGCCCATTTTCTCATGAATGATTTTCTGATTTTATTTATTTTAGACAGAATGCATTTGTTGTCTGGTATAATATACTAAAAATAATATAGTATGTGGAGCATCATAGCAGATTGAGAGGAGCAGGTATCACCACAGAAGTCCACTGTGTTCCTCGGATTTGTACGCAGCCCTTGCAGCCCTCCTATCTAGACATGGACTCTCTTCTATGTAGGCATGGACTCATTTTGACACACTTGACAGACAGGGCTCTTGAGTTTTCTGTTTCGTACAGATATAATGGTTTTAGATGAGTCTAATTCTGATTATCTTATCTCTGACTGCACATTTCTAAGCTCAACATGGCATTAATGCTTAGCTAGTTTGCTTTGCCTTCACAGAGCAATGGATCTCTAGTCAGAGGATCGGGCTTTTTCAATTACAGAGACTTGAATTCGCTCCATGTCAGAGCATGTTATGGCTGTCTGCTTTTTGATGCTCTGGACCACGTGCGTTTCTCTTCTGTTCTCTTTGTGTGGGCTCGGGATGCTTCGCACAGCAGGAAGTGCTATTCCTATGCTTGTTCTTCAATTACTGTGTAACAGCGCTTAATACAGTCAACCAGCCTGTTAAGCAGCAGACAGCTAATTTAGCACAACTCAGCTTGATGAGCGAACAGAAAAGACAGCACTGACAAACACATCTTCCGTGTGTGTGTCTGTGTGTGGCCTGTTAGGATATGCTCCGAATGCAAATACCATATTAGACACATGTCACATTTGATGCAGTTTTTGGTCATGTCATAGCAATCCTGAGCCACTTCAGTCCTTAATTAGCTGAAACCAGAATATTCTAATGCATAAAAATTTCCACCCTAAAGTCAATGTTGATGCAACATCAAAACTTCCCCAAAAGTTGATATTTAAAAGGTGCATAATGGACATTTTATGTCAAACTTTAAGAAAATTGTAAAAGAATCACACGGACCGGTTTATGCCCGACAATATTTTCACGGACCGGCCTTTAATGTGTCGTGGATAAATACAACAAAATAAAACTAGTACCGGTACCGAAAAAAAGAAGATTTATTCATAACACGCGTGAAAAGACCCAGGAAAACCGAGTTAACGATAAAAACGATAACAAAATAACGCTGAAAACCGATAAAAACCCTGAAAACCATACATTTCACACCTGAGCCTCAACTCTCGCGGTCCGGTACCAAACGACTCACGGACCGGTACCGGTCCGAGGCCCGGGGGTTGGGGACCGCTGGTATAAAAGTCTCGAGTCTTCTTTCTTTATATTCTGCTCGGAAAACACAAACTAAGTCCAGAAAACTATTGAGACACATGCAAGCATTTATGGAAAAACAGTTTGTACAATTTTTACGGGCTTGACAGTCAACAGTCAAGTTGATATATCAATGGCCTCTGTCCAGATGATCTCACACTGCTTCAATAATGTTAATGTCAGGGCTCTGGGGAAGCAAACCCAAGGCTGATTTTTAAAAAATACACAGCGGAAAGCTACCAGTGTATGCTTTCATTGCATTTCCAGATCATTGCCATATTAAAACATTAAGCCCAAGTCATGATGCTGCATGGTAGATCGTTCTGCCAAGATTCTCAACACCGCTGGGTGAAATGCAGCCCCAAACCATGACAGAGCCTCCAGCCTTCCACTAAGATAATTTCTGATGAGACTTTGGTGAACAAATTTAAAATACAATTTAAAGTTGTTTCTTTGGCAAGTTGTTTGGCATCTGTCAATGCAACATCAGTTCATTCCTTGAGTTAGCTCGAATGCTATTTTTATGCTTGAATGACAGAAGGTCAGTGTTAAGTGGTGTGACAAAGAAAGAAAGAAAGAAAAAGAAAGAAAGAAAGAAAGAAAGAAAGAAAGAAAGAAAAAGAAAGAAAGAAAGAAAGAAAAAGTGCTTTCGTCAAAAAATGGTCAGGTACAAAGAGTGGAGCGGAAAAAATCTTTGAAAAGATTCCAGAAAGCCTGGAGAACTATTGCTCAAGACCTCTTTAAAAGTTAAAACCACATCTCGCTGCTTGGAAACAGAATATAAAGAATTTATGGGAATTTTATGAAGCCTTTTGTGCATTACTGTATATAATCAATTTTCAGTCCATCAGTTGTTTAACACTGAGATGTTAGTTCACCCACCGCCTAACATCTGATCATTCTGCTCTCTACCTGTGAGCTAGCACTTTGCAGTGACGGCTGTCTGAAATCTGTGAGGACTTGCATGCTCAACATCACTCACATTCCTCTTGGACGTGTCCAGATATGCTTGTTCTTTGCACATTCACAGTTTTTGACTCCACAGCTCTTTTAAGACGTATTCAGATGAGCGTGTTCTTAAATCATGAAGGTCTGTGTGTCTGAGTTCAGAGGGAAAACTGAAAACTACACGAGAGACGTAAGATAACATATCACGGATGAGTTTAGTAAGTGGGTGACGGGTGGGAAAATAAGAAGTGGAAATGTAATGTGCATGTCTTTATATCATGTCAAATATAAAATAAAAATGAAAGGGCTTATTTTTGTTCTTATGAAAGTTTAAACTATTGTGTATCAGCACTGAAAGCATTCATAGTCTGCTTAAAGCTTTGCTAAAATTGATGAAAGCATTAGGTTAAGGTTTGAGCTTGTGATGTTGTGTTTCATACCCATCAGAAGCTTTTCTTTTTGTAGAGTGTTTTGAGTTCACTCCAGTTTGAGCCCATTTCTCACCACGAGCTCCAGACCAGATCTCTATCACGCTGCCTGTGTCAAAGGTCAGCCTGGTCAGTCTGACACTTTGATCGAGTTGTGTTTGGAGTCTTTCTCCTTCCTCTTTGAGTTTCTTCTTCGTCTCTTGATTCTTCAGTTTGTTGAAAATGAAAGGTTGAGCGAGTTTTAAAAGCAATCGTGATGTTTGACATGATGTGCACTTTAAAATGCATCATGACTATTGTGAAATATGGGGAAAAATAGTTTTCTTAAGAGGAAAGAAGAACAATGCCACCCCCATGTATGTAGCTTAGCAGACTGAAGGGAAACCGTCTAGTCTCTGTCCAAAGCTCTGTTCAGCTCCTATAAAATGATTTGATAAATGATTTAAGCAAGTGCAGGACAGCATGTTAATTAGTTGGCTTTGGAGGTGCTGATTAGTGAGTTTATTGGATTGATGTTTTTACGATTCTAAGGCCAAACGTTAAATCTTCTCTCTGTTCAGAGTCTCCTCCAGAAAGGACAGGACGCCGCCGCAGTATGCCGGGGTCCTCGGACAAGAGCACACCGTCCATGGAGCCTACATCCACCGCTGCGACGCCTTTCAGAGTCACCGTGAGTACTGTGAGTTTGTCTTTGTTTTCCTTTTTTCTGCCTCTTCTTTGTTTTATTCTCTGACTTTGTCATTTTCTCCCCCTTGATGTGCCTTAGAAGGCTGTTTCTTATAGAACAGGTTTGCTTTTCCCCCTTTTTCTCAAGGCTCGTCTGGCATCCAGATGGAAGGATGCCAATCTGAAACTCATTTGCTTTAAGTGTTTGGAACAGGGCCTTTGATGTTTGGCGTCTATGCAACACAAATACATTTGCACAATTTGGGTTTCTACTCAGCACTCAAACCCTCATTGATTTTGATTTCCCTTCATTAAATTTCTTATTCTCATTCGAATAGTTCAAGTGAGCTAAGGCACACACATACTCCCACACCTGTTCGTGCTCGGCATCCATCCGCCATCTAGCACGCTTGTCCTCTCCTCGGTCAAGCGCGCACACAAATGCAGAGCAGTGCTTTGCCTGTCATGTTGCATAATTCTGCTGTACTTTCTGCCATGTTTAATTCAGCAGATAAACAACCAGTTGATTAAGCAAAAGCATCCTCTATGAGTCATCAATTTAAAGATAATTAGCAATTAGCGGCGCACATTTCCATTAATGAATAATGAGCGGGGAGATGTCGCCCCAGAGGTGAACTGTAAACAGTCGAAGTTAGGCCAGCAGAGCCACACACGCTCAGTAATTAGTCTCTCATAAAGAATATTCTAGCTTTGTATAAACCATCAGCCTTTGCAGGTACACCAGTGGACTTAGTTAAGAGCTTCACACTCTTGCATCATTCCTGAAACCAGAAATTATATATTTGCTTTCTTTCATTTCCTTCTTTTCCCCCACCATCAGCAATATTCTGCACTCAAATGACTCTAGTGCTCTAATAAAAGCCCACAGTCAATGTAATAACAATAAACAGTAGACCCACTAGACCCACTAGTGCTGGACCACCTGCAGAGTGACAATAAAGTCTGTTACTCATATAAGACGATCACAGTTTGCCAACCTAGAGATGGCAAAACTCTAATCTGCCCTTATAAAAAGATGGAAATGGTATTGGGGGGTGTGTGTGTGTGTGTGTGTGTGTGTGTGTGTGTGTGTGTGTGTGTGTGTGTGTGTGTGTGTGTGTGTGTGTGTGTGTGCTCGTTCTCTGACCTTTTAATTACGATTGTATATGCTACCACTGTAACCGGACTTCCCGAAATGTAAAAAAGAAAAGGAGAACTGAAAGCTTGCGGTGAGCAATATAAGAACCAAATGAAGAAGTAAAAGCTTGGAGGAGACAGAGAGGCTCAGGTAGGATGGGCTAGACACTGGGTAAGCATCTCCTCAGCAGCTCCTTTGTACTTTCCAAAGGAAAAGGGTAGAGGAGTGCAGCACTGCTGGTCACATGACCACTTAACTTGCTTCTGATGTTTTATTGATGAGCAGCAGTAACTTTTTGTGTAAAGTAAACAAGCTTCCTCAGGGAACATTTAACCCTCTCCTGCACTTTTCCCTATACTGCCCCCCTCTGGCGTCTGTCGGTATTACAGCAAAAGTTCCCCTCACAGCAACATTCTTACCTGCACATCTTATAAGTAACATTTGACCATTATTTTTGGTGACCAATATTTTCAGCTTAAATTACTGAAGGGAAACAAGATGATTTTACCAACACAGAGACTAGCAGATCATACAGATACTTCTACACTGAAGATGGATGCAATTGAGATTAATGTGCAACCGTATTATTATAAAGATAACCTTGCTGTGTTCACACTGTAGACAGTATGCTGCTCTTGGCCTCTTCCTCCAAGATAGAAAAGGGAAGATCATGTTTTATGCTGATGATGTCTGTTTCCTACTGATTAATGCCTGCAAAAACAGGACTTACTGGAAAAGCACCGTCAACTTCAACTCAGTTTCAAAGAGCTTAGTAACAAGTACAGGTATGCCTTAAAGACAGAGACAGGATGTATCTTAATGCCAAGCATACATAAATATACCACAACCTAAGAGGCAGTAAATAACCATGGCGTACACAGCACCACACATATTTTAAATCTTAGTGCATATATCTTCTGTAATTGTCCTAGCATATGTATCTGTGTGTTCCCCAACTCATCTTAGACACGTTAAAAAATCTGGATTAAACCTACGATATAAACTACCTAGTTATAATCTATATACACTCAAAAGTTGATCATCTGAAAATGAACAGCAACGGTCCGTCTACATTATGTGTACATTGCTGACATTACGTGCACGTGACATGTGCAACGTTGTACAACGCTAGCAGTGTCTGCAATTGATTATTTTGTATTATACAATGAAAATTTAGCTTTTTATCATTCACTGGTTAGATTTTTATGAAAACCCATGTTTGCCATCTCATTATATATTGTGATATAATGAAGATAAAAAAAATAGCATGCTAAATTAACGTCTGTGTTTTCATACATGAGCAAAACTGTCACAGCAAAAATCACCTGTATTGCAGGTTTTTGCTAGTAATGAATAGAATTTGACTTTTTGATGTGTGTTTTATTTTATTTTTTTTATTTTTTCATTTTTGAGCACTCATACTTTCTAATGTGGGGGGAAAGGAGGTATCTAGACTGAAAAACAAGTAAAGGAAGTTGTGAAAGTAATTTTTTTTTCTTAGCTTTATTAAATATTTAATATTTATATTATTTTTAAAAAGTCATCAGATTCTCAGAGAGCGAAGTGGGAACTTCATATTCGACTGACTCTATTAAAATATCAGTAAATCAATCATAACAGCATATTAACATTATTGTTATTGATAGTTTCATGCTAATAGAGCCCTTTGAATTGAAACTGAATATTGAATAGATGGACTGATGGATAAGATACAGACATGGTGCGCGCACAAATGTTGGAGCGCAAACGAGAAGACGGGCAGTGATTCTCCTGCATCTTCTACTTTTTTTAGCAATAACAAACCACCCCACACTTTTCTTCTACAGTGAAAAGAGTTGTGGTGACATCTAAAGTAGTCCTCCTAGGCCTTGAGCTAAATCTGTCAAAATGTTTTTTTGTCATGTACTCTGCAGCGACTGGATTCACGATCTGCATGTGCATGGTGGAATCCATGCACACGCAAAAGCACAACTTCTCTAAAACAATTGCTCGCCAGCAGGCGAGAAAAAAATGTTTCAAAGCCAAGCCAAGAATAGTAGTTCAAAATGTGACTGTAAAAGTTACAACTTGATACTTTCTAATGTGCAGTGCTTTAAAGAGCAGACAAACAAATCTTATCTAAGTCTCTCACGTCCACGTCCCGCTGATTGCGCTAGCTGAGTGGATTGATTTGACTTAGGGAGAGATAGGATAAAGAGCTAACTCCATTCTCCCTACCTTCTAGCCCCTCTTAGATAATAGCAGGGGGTCTAATTGGACAGGTAGGTCTCTTGTTTTCATCAGGTTGTTCTAGAGGAGGACAAGAGAGGTTGACGTGAAAGCAGGGAACACCCTGCTGATTGTCCAGGCACTGATTCTATCAGCCCCCATTAAGGGAGCCTGGAATTGCCAAGCCAAGGGAATAGCATTAACTCATTGCAAGCATTTACTTTAATTTCAAGAAGAAAAAAATCCCAATTACACAACTCTTAGTGCTGATTTAATGAAATTGGACAGGCTGAGATTAAGATCAAGAATGCAGGCCTGTTATATACTCGCACACAAGCGGGCATGTACAGAGCTGCACTGTAAACAAGTATCGTATTAATTATAGATGGACTCTTTTGACAGACATTAAGTTTCAGAGGCCTAGTGCAATAAAGGACAGACAGGTTGTTAAAAACCAAGCACGATGAGCAGAATATTCTATTACCCTCCTTCCCATTAGCTGTGAACCGTGGCAGTATGAATTGATTAAAGAGCTCAATGAAATTCACACTAACGTGCGACACTATAACGCCTCCGTTTAGGTTTCTGTGTAAATAGGAATTTGCAAAGGGCCTGACCTTAGAGGGAAAAACATGTAACGCTGATGAAGACCAACCGCAGCATTGTTGAACGAGAAGCGAATCAATGTAAAGATCTCAAACACCGTTAAGCTGAGCCTGCCGGGAGATTGTATTCTCATTAGCGAGTTGCTTTGGCGCGTGGCAGAGTGACGGCGTGATGTATGCCCTCTCATTAAGGTGTCAGGTTTTGTTTTTGTTTTGTTGGCGTCGCTGGCCATTTTCCCTTGGAGTACCTACAGCAAGATATAATGGGAACGGGCCAAGCGTCCAACAGCGATGTCAGCCATCTCTGCTTACTGTATGATAATTGGCGTCCTATAGTTTGCCAACATTTGTTCAGACAAACACCAGGATTATTAACCACGGGGAGGACCGAGCTTATTTGAGCATCTGTCGTTTCAAGTGCCGGCTGGACTCTCTCCCATCGGCTGTTCCTCTGCTTTAGCCCCCATCCGCCAGCAACCTTGTCACTCGTTTGGTATTCTTTTGCTTTCTCCCTCATTTAATTTCATTCTATTGCTTCTTCTATCAACTCGTGCTCTGCCACCTCCACATCGTGCTCCACTTTTTCCCCATTTATCCTGCTCCTGTAGCTCATCCCTTTTCTGCAGACACTTGCTGTCACTTTCTCAATTTTTTGACTGGTCCAACCTCTATTTCTGCTTCTTCGTCTGCTCCTATTTCTTTGCTCTCTGGAGTTGCTGAAGGCAAATTCCGTGCTGAAATTTTTTCGTTGACCCCTTCATAAGCTAATGTTAATATAGGTATCAGTCATTCTTGAGAGGAAATAGTGTGAGGGGAGAATAGGTTATTCTCTTCTAATGACCTGTATCCTTTCTAATTGCTCTGCGAGGGCTTTGACAGGTTAACTGATATATGGAGCGGTGTCTTGTATTTCTTTTCGATGATTTTTTTCTTTTTCTTTTTCCGTCTTCTCTTTTAATGTCACGTCAGTGTCTGCGTACACCGGGGAGGGTGAAATAGAGAAATTATAGCTTTGTGCGCGTCTGTCTTTTTTTTTCTCTTCTGGATTCTATTTTTCTTTCTGCTCCATTCTTCCGAGGCCATCTATCAGGGCAAGGGGAGAAGTAAAAACAAAATGAGCAGCCACTAATCAATCCACCTCGCCTGCAGGGACGTGTTTCTATTCACTGACTTATTTCTGCAAATCGAAGGGAGGGGGGCATTTTAATTTGTTAGCTGTGAATATATCAACAGTAGCAAGCGCCTCACACACGTACACTCTAGGGCTTACGAGGAAGAAGCATGGCTTTGTGAATGGCGGTGTGTTGGAATGCAGAAAGGTGCGTCTTTGTTGTCAGAAGGTCAAAATCGTTTAGCTTTTCTTTGAGACTTCTCGTCATGTCGGTAACCGTGATGCTAAATGCATTCCAGCTGCACAGTGTCTGACTCATATTTGTCATTGTTTTCTATGGGCGCCTATGCTAATTTAACCACATGCCCACATAAAACCTCATGCACTCACATACACAGACAGGATGAATGAATTATGTATTTATACGACTAATAATATACAAGAGCGGGACTGAGAGCGAATTAGACCGAGAAAAAGGAGCCCTGTCAAAAGCATCAGGTGTCTCGCTCTCTAACAGCAGTGACTAAGCACCGTTCATTTAGCTAATAGCCCCTGAGCAGAGTTCATTGGTGGCAGGTAGCAATCGTCAGCCATTTGCTGCCCACCTCTTTGTTGGCTTATGCACATATGTTGCCAGGTATTGCTAATATAAGGCTTGCATACAAAAAATAAAATCAATCTGATTGTTGCTATTCAGTATTCAAAACCGATTAAAATGTCATTATAGCACAGTCAGAATAAATATTAAACAGTTGTTCTGAATTGTTTGAGCCCTCATCCTGGTGTTAATTTGAAAAAAACAAAACAGAACTTCATAACCAACCCACAGTAATCTGTTTATTGTGGATCTCACAGCCTTTATAATTCTTTATATAGCAGTACCATATCTGTGCACATTACCTGTGTCTTGCTTTAAACCACATAAGACTTTATAACCACTTGAATAATCGCAAAGAGCTGGAAATTTTCATGTGCTGCCACAGATTTTTAGTCCAGTTCTTGTATAAATTGGCATCGCT